CGATCTTCACAGAATTGAGAGTGACATTCTTCTGTTCCAGAATCCGTTTGATTATAACCTTGATGACGAGCCAGTCGAACTACTGTTGGAGCTCATTGATTTGCAAGCAAATGGCTTGTTGAAAGAGAAGCACAGAGAAGGAAAACTTGTTGAATTTTATCGCTGCTTACCTGATGATGAGTTTTCAAAGTTGAAGAAATTTGCCTCTGGTATGGCATCAGTGTTTGGAACAACTTATTTCTGTGAGCAAACATTTTCAAAAATGAATTATGTGACGTCAGCACATCGAACGAATTTGACTGATGAACATTTGAAAGCAATTCTCTTGGTTGGATGCAGCAATTCCAAAGCAAATGTTGATGATATCTCAAAAGCTAAACGCCAGTTTCACAAATCTCACAAACCTTTTTTGCTGCTAAGTTTGTGAGATTCGGATATATATCTTATTACTAACGTCGCCTTCTTTGATAACTTTTTGGTAAATAAACATGTTTGTTGTCTTTATTTTTTGTGTATTCACTGTATTGTAGTGAACAAAATGGTTATGCGGCCCGCGCTCGTCATTCTCTCAGTTATCTGGTCCGTGTGAAAAAAGTTTGGTGACCCCTGCTCATACTAGATCTCGGGTCTCTACTGCTAACTTAGCAGGGTCTGTAGAGATTCCTTTCTATCTACAATATGCCAAGAAATCTCACTTTTGGTTTCGGTTTCTAGCCATCTTCATTTATTGAATGGGATACCATTCTCAGGTTGTCAGCCGCAGACTCGAGTGTGCAACCAAACACCAAAACATTATTGATGTAGACCAGGCACATCTCCCTCATTGTAGCCTCTTCAGTGTAAGCTCTTCCTTAGCTTCTTAAAAGTGGCAGGAACATTATACAGGTCAAATGGCATGAAATGGAACTTATACAAGCCATTTTCGAGTTAGAAGTAAATTACCATATTTACTCGTCTAAATGCAACAATGTTTACTTCTTCCTGAAAATAATTTCTTAAGGTTGCATGACTTTGCCTTTCAACATACACTGTATGATCATTTCAGCATAAAATTGGATAGCTGATTAATAATGGCTGGAGACTGCTTGAAAGGCACCTAATGATGACAAAACCTTGTCGAAACGTTGTACATTTGCTGTTATGTTAAACTTATATTAGAGTTTTTCTTCATTACCCATTCAAGCCGTCTCCAGCCATTATTAGTCTCAAAGTGGGTTCCTCGTCACCGAATTTGGATAGCTGATTGTCTATAAATATTTAACATCACTGGGACCTCACCTCTCTTTGGACATATAACTACCATTCCTGGCTCAGTAGTACATCTAAGCCCTTATAGGGCTGAAAATTGGATTTTCATACTCGTGATGGGTGGGCACAGCAGAAATAGCCCATTAATAAGAAATATACAAATAACTGTCCCAGCCAATGATGCCTGTTTTCTGGACAGGAAGAGTTCATTTCATGTGTTTCTTCTGTAACTATGTCACAGAGTACTGATTCACTAGACTTTGTCTGTAGTAAACCATGGAACAGGTGTATTGATTTTCCTTCTCTACATACACTCATACAGTTCATCGACCTGATTAACATTGGAAAACTCCCTTATAGAGCGTTGGTTCACCATTACATAGGCAAAACTGGCTGATGATTTCTGTAGTATGTACATCCTGAGGATGCCAGATCCAAGGTTATAGATGACTACATTCATTTTGTGATTATCATTTCATAGACAGAGTCAGAATTCTATCTCTCATCTTACATCTAGTCTATCACCATTTGCCAATTTCCAATGGACAGAGTAGTGGTGATATCAATTGGAGGACTTGATATTATGCATGACCTAGCAGTGTTCTGGCTATTTCTGAATCAAAATGGAGCTCATTCTGTCACTCTTGTACCTTTACAGGCATGTATCAGACTCCACTTAACCACAAGAGAGTTTTGTTGACCAAATCCCTTTGGTGCAGATTGTCAGCAGTGCTCCTTCAAGTTGGTAGCCAGGTATGACTAGAGCTCCATTAGTTTTCCATACTTTGGTGGCAGCACTTACCACTTGCTGTTGGTTCTCCTGGACCCACTAAACCATTGGTCAAAACAGATAGCCTTGCCTACTTTGCTGGACAGAAACATATTGACACGGATAGATATCAATATTATGCTGAGCCATTGGTAGGAACTGATAGCCTTGCCACCTATACTGTTCAGCAAAGTTCTGGCAGTTCACTCGCCAGTGACATAACATTCCACAATAAAGTAGATGTTTTGCTCCTCACATCTTAAACAATGTTAAGACAGAGGTATCATAGGCATAGGATACAGCATAAACATGCAATAACCCTACTTGTTCACTAAAACCAGTGTGGCTGTATCATATTACTTGGATGTATGGATAGATGATTAACCATCAGCATGGCTCACATTCGATACAGTGGAAGTACCCGAGTAGGATGGTTCATTCAAGGTGAAGCACAGCAGTTGTTGCTGCACAGTTCTTCCCTTACAGAAAGTAGCTCAAATTTACTACTTTGTATCTGATCCTGACAGTAACTGACTCAATTAGAGTGAGGATATCTCTGATACCAAGATGATGTCTCATTATTAAAGTACTTAAACAAACTTATCCATCAGCATGACCTTACAATATGTTTTACCTTGCAGATGGCACATATCATCTAAGTAAGTGGCCAGGCTCTCAGTAATACTCCTTTTTCAAGTCTTAAACACAGAACAATGGATTACTTGCTTCTTCACTGGACTAAACCATTTGTATAATTCAGCTATTACTGTATCCCCGTCTTCTTGTTGTGCCTTATTCAAATGCTCAATAGAGTTGAAGCTCAGGAATTGGACTGCCTGCTGTTGAGTCGAGCCATTCCAAACATTTACCTGCCATAAACACCTTGGAAACTATCCAGTTCTTCCTCTGCCAAAACTTTTGGCAAACTGATGGCAAAACACACATAGCTTCACTTACAGGGACTTGTAGTTTTGGCCAAAACCTTTCCCTTGCAGGTTCTTCAGCAATGCCTAGTTAACATGCCACAAATGCCTTATGTTTAGAGATGTACGTGTACTCAGGAACCTCATTTATCATATGAGTAGTCAGTCCCTGAACCAGGGCAGCAGAGTAATGAGTTGCTCTCAGCAGTTTATCCTGAAGCTCTGACTTCCTTGTAATCCATGGTTGTCCTGATAGTATACTTCTTGGTTCGAAGAGGTTGGTGATCGCTCTATGGTTCATGATCTTTTCAAGTTGGTGCCCACTATTCACCCACCAGTGGCATGTTCAGTCCTACTAGGCTGGTCATGACCATAGCTGG